AATAATTTAAAACAAAATTGTCGAAATTTGCAGGCGCGCTGCTTAGCTAATACGCGAGCCCCACAATCAACGCTAATACGTAAGCGCAGAAAGAGAAACGTAAACGCAAAGTGAGCCAACTTCTCAAACGATAACTACAACGTAAGAAAAATGCTAGTGTACAAATGCTGACAGATATTGTTACTCATTACTGAATTAAATTCTTGAATTTGTTTTTTATGTGTCCTTTTTTTTATGTATAAGCTTATACCCAAATTTAAAGTCAACATTGTATTTGTTTTTACAATTCGAGCGCAATTTTTATTTATAAATTTATAATAAAGAATTAAATGTAATACAATATTAGCGAAAAAAATATGTATAACACACGCATTTATAAGTACAGTTAATAAATTAAACAATAGCGAGTTGTGTTTAAAATTAGAAGAATAACAAACTGAATAGCTAGGGGGACAGGCTGTGGGGAATAACCAGCTATGCGGATACCCTGCCCATTGTTCATTTCGAGAGTACACCAAAAGAAGTCGGTCTTCTTCTTGCTTCTTGCGGTGTAGAATAGAAATAAATGCATAATTAATTATTAATTAAATAAACGTCTTAAATGTTTTTTGTTTTCCTTTTTTGTTTTTTAGTATATACACAATGAGTTTTACCAGAAAAGAAGGGGAAATATATAACATTACACAAATTTATCGAATTAGTTGTATTTGTTTTCAATTTCAATTTACTCAAACTTTGAGTTTGACAAATCAATTTAAAACAATCATATCGCGTATTTAGGTATTTTCAAAAATAACTTCACTCGCACGCAAAAAAAAAGTTTTGAAAAGTGGCAAAAAAGAGCAAACAAACATAGTAAATTAGCACCTATTATTTTAGTTTATTTTTATAATTATGCTACGGCCAGTGGGCGTGGCAGCTTCTCTGCGGGCAGCATTTTTTTTGTGTTTACAAATAAAATTCATTTATTTATTTAGTTTTCTTTTCTGCTCTTTTCATATTAGCTAAAAAAAAAAATCAAAAATCACTCATGCACTCTCTCTCTCTCTCTCTTTATCACTCACTCATGGACACACACACTATTTCAGTTACACATTCTCTCTCTCTCTCTCTCGCTCAGGCATTCACACATACACTTAATATACTTAGTTATCTTTAGTAGAGATTCATATAGCACTTGTAACTCATTCGCTCAAATATTTGCAAACTTCGTGGAAAAAAATAGTCGAATTAAAAAAAAATATAATAATAATATGATATTATTAAACCGTTTCGCTTTCGACAGTTCTTAATTCGTGACTAGGCAATTTTTACTTGTTTTCGTTTCTTCTCACAAAAAAAAATCAACGCAACATCGCACATGATTTTTCAGTTCTTCATTTTCTTTTGCTTTTGTTGTCGTGCTTTGGCACGCGTTTTAAAAACGCGCGCGCGGTTTGAAACTTGGTTAAGTGCGTTCGATGTTTTAGTAGAGTTTTTGTTGCTGTTTTTAGAACCGTTGTTTGTTTGCATCTGCTGCATTGTTTTTTGTGTTTAGTACATTTTTTTAGTGAGATGTTAATTGTTCGTGTTTTTTTTTTTGTTTTTTGTATTTCTGTTATTTAAATTTCGGCAGCTGCTGCTGCGGATGCAACGCATTTACAGATGTTCATCGCCATGGTAACCGTTGCGCAACGGTTGTCGCTCCTGCGAATGATCTGCGGGCCGATTGCGCTTGAAGAAGCCGCACTAAAAATGAAACGGAAGGGAAACATAGAACATAGAAGAAATACAGTTGGTTGGTGCATTGACTAAGCACTCACCTTGTAGAGCAGCAGAACGAGCAGTAGAAAGATAAGAGCACCCGCACATGCAGCCAAGACCACAACCCAGAGCGGCACCACATCGGGCACCTGCTGCGGCTCTGGCTGCGCCTTGTAGAAGATCTCGTGCGTCTTCAATATCTTCTCCTTGGGCTTGCCAATGAAGGGCAAGCTGGTCACGTTCGCCACGGCGAGCGTGGATACATTCAACGGCACAGTGGGCGCCAGCTTTTCCATGGTGGTGGCTACCATACGAGCTCGTATGGCCACAAAGGCCGCATCCGCATCCTCATAGCCCAGATTCTCCAAGTAGCAGCGCAGTCGACGACACTGGACACCCAGGCAGGGTGACGTGCCATTCGCCAGACGCATCTCTATCGTAGTAGGCACGTCGCGCCTGTAGCGACGAGGCGCAGAGTTCGAGTTGGAGCTGGAGCTGTGCCACTGGCCAAACGCCTTCTGCTGCTGATTGTCCTCGTCGTAGAAGTCCTCGTTCTCACGGCCATAGTACGGCTTGCTACCAGAGCTATACACCACACGCCGCTGCACCGCCGGCTGGCCGTACTGCACCTGGCTATTGTGCAGCTCATTGTCCACGTTGCCGCGGTTGAAGGTGCCCAGATCAAGGGTGCCCGCATGGAAGTCGCCATTGCGTCCGCCATACATCGACTTGTCCACTGGGCCGCCAGCAAGATAAACTTGCTGCTGCCGCTGCTGCTGGGGTCGCATTTGGTAGCTGGATCTGGAACTGGAGGTGACCTGGGGCGGCGCCATTTGAATATGGCCATGGGTGCTGTGGCTGAGCAGCTCGCCGCTGGGCGCAGCTGGAATGAAACCGCCACTTGAGAAGCTGCCACTGCTCTGATTCATGTTCGCCTCCTGGTTGCTGCTCGAGCCCGCTTGATTGGCACGATCCAAATGCACAAAGGAGGCGTCTCCTGCCGCGTCCTGGGCGTCCTCGCGCTCCAGCAGCTCCTTCTGCTTGGGTGTCAGGCTGCGCTGGTTGTCGTTGCCGACGGTGACGCCAACCGTGTTGCCGGTTTGGATGCCATGCGAGATCTCCACATGACCGCCAGCTCCCTCGCTGCCAGCCGAAGCATCCCATGTCGCCGGCACAGAGTTGCTAATCGCGCCCTGGGCATGCAGGTAGGACTTGTTCTTCTGCTTCTCGTTCAGCTTGAGGCCCAGCTCGTTAACCTCGATCTTGTCGCAGCGGATTTTACCGCCCGTCTCCGGCTGATTGACGATGTACATGAGTGGATCACCAGATTCGGTCTGATAGGGGTAGTAGATGTCCACAACGGCGCCCTCAATGTAGGAACTGAGGTTGTTGCGCAGCTCATAGATATGCACCACCTGTGGACCCAGTTCGTCCTCGGTGGTGGCGTTGCCGGGTGCCTTGTAGTCGGCTGCCTTGTACACCTGGTAGTCGGGCAGCGAGGTACCCTTGATGGTCAGGTCGGTCTCTACCCAGACGCCAATGCTCTTGCTGCCCACATTATCGTACTCGGAGTTCTTGCGCTCCACATTTGTGGAATTGGCCACCCAATAGAAATCGTAGCTGGACGTCTTCGTGTGCTTCTCCGCCGGTACAAAGCTGACCGCAAAGTGAGTCTGTTGATCGATTATCAATGGATTAGAGATGACCGCTGAGGATTACCGCGTCGTAGGACTCACCATATTGCCACCCTTTAGCGGGTTACCAATGTCACATTTGAGGGTGTAGTTGTTGCTGGCATCGGGCGCTGAGCAGGTGATGGGCATGTCGATCTTCTCGCCCAGCTGCTGCAGCTTGGTGAACTGCAAGTCCTTGGGCGTCATCATGTAGAATGCAGCCTCGAAGGCATCTTCGTTATTGTTCTTGATCAGCACCTCAATGGTCAGCGGCTCGCCGGACACAAACAGATACTTGTCGACGGCCCTAAGAAAAGGAAGAGGAAGAGGAAACCGATTAGATCACGAAGAAGGAGAAGGGGGAGAAGGCGTTAAGCCCCCAGTGAACATACGTTACGGTCAGTGATAGATCGGGCTCACAGATGTTGTCCGGTCCGCAGTTCTTTTGTATGTTGATCGCATCGCGTAGAATGATCTCGCGGTTCTGATCGATGACCGGCTCAAGGGCTGCGCGACGTGTCCGGGAACGGGATTCGATGGGGCGACTGCTGCGCAGGTTGTAGCGCGCCTCTACCTCGAGGGGTGTCAGCTTGTCCTGGACACCGTCCATGAGGTAGACGGTCTCGTTGAGGCAATACCTTTGGCCGTAGGCGAGTCGGATCGTCTGGTTGCGGATGTTCTTGCCCTCGTCACGCAGGAAGAACATGCGGGGATTGCGCGTCTTCTTCGCATCCAGCAGCCAGGAGACTTCAAAGTCCAGCTGCGCGGGCAGATAGCGACCTGTGTAGCTCCAGCAGGTGCTCAATGGCATACAGGGAACCATCTTGTGATCGCGCTGCAGCTGGCAGGTGCGGTCGTCCAGGCTGATCAGCTTCGAGGCACTGGCAAACACCGTTTCTGCATTGACAGCGGCCACTGGGCGCGACTTGAAAATAAACACCTGATCCGAGGCATAGGCGCCAACAGCCAAGTCAGGATACGTATTGCCATCCATGTCCACTCCGCCGGACAACGCAAAGCCAAAGGTGCGCGGGTATGGAGCCGCCTCGACCAGACTTTCAGCCTTAATGATCTGCGAGGGCTTCAGGAGGGGACCTAGCGCTGAACCATGATAGATGTACACCACGCCACGACCCTCGGGTCCATCGTAGGGTGCACCCACTGCAAAATCGCCATAGCCATCGCCGTTGACATCACCCAGCGTGGTGAGCGCCAGGCCAAAGCGTCCCTTGGTCTGAAAGCCTTCTCGTATGAACTCCTTATTCCAGCGATCCGACTGCAGACAAACAAGGATATCAGAGTCCAACCTGAGCTCGTACCATTCGCAAACTTACCTGAGATACGCCGCCCTGTAGCACCACATAGACACGTCCCACATCGTACTTGCCCTCGACATTGTTCAGCTCCGTGTACATGGGCGCACCGATGATCAGATCGTCGAGTCCATCGCCGTCCACATCGCTGCTGGCCAGGGCATAGCCGAAGTACTCGCCAATCTGGTGACCCGATATGTTCATGATGTTGGCCATATTCCAGCGATTGACGACGACCTTGCCGGACAGATTGGCGCCGCGCGGCATGCCAATGGCAACGTCTTCAGTGCGATCTGCATCGAAATCTCCAGTGACCATAGAATAACCCAGGTACGAATCGTCGTTGGCCGATGAGCTCTCCGCCGTGGAGAACACCTGGTTCTCGGGCCTGGTCACATCCTGGGATATCGCTTGACCTGTGAATATGTTGGTGAAGTGGATGAGTGCGATTCGGTCGATTCGATTTGGGCCAGACCGTCTTTCAGATCAATTTTCGGGTGAGATGTGTTGGTATTATTAGCTACGATTATAGCGGCATGCTGAATGACAACAACAACAACAACAATTATAATAAACAAAAACAATAATACGAATAATAATAAGAACAATGAGGAGCAATGCAATACAAATAAAAATTCTCAAGATCTACCATGACTACGATTGCCAAATAACTAAAGCAGACTACCGTTATATTACCATTAAATATAGATTAGTACCGAGATACCAGGTGAGGCGGTGACTAGCATGCGATGCGTCTTTAAGAGGGCTGACTAGCTCAGCCCTAGGGAATGGGTTAGTAACAGACCAACATCCCACATGCAAGACCAAAATAACAAAATTCCGAGCCATTTTCAAGTAAACTTAAATTCAAAAACTTAAGATATAAGATGTGGAACGGTTAAAGCAAGAGGGAGAGAGAGAGAGAGAGATAGCGAGAGATAGAGGATATAGAGAGAGATCGGCTTTATATTGCACTTTAATGACAGCCACCTAAACATAATGTTAAACATTATTTAGTTTTCCCATTATAATATTTATCATACGCGACACCAGGTACTTCACCTGACAAGCCATCAACATAGAAAAACATATACATCTGTGTCAATGCTGGACCTTGTGATAGATCGGAAATGTCAACTCTTCAGCTCGTATATTTAGCAATCTGACTGATTAGTAGACTTAGTCTCTGTCGAAGAAATTAGAATGTGTGTAACATATTCGAAATATAGATGTATGCGATCTTCGCAGCGTACATAGGTAAGTATATATCTACATATAGAATGCAATATTAGCAAGGAACAGTCAATTTAATTATAGTTCTATGGAAAATTGACATCGAAAAAACTGAAAGCTGATATCTGTAAGAATCACATATAGTACATATGTCGATAAACGTATAGTTTAGTTTGGAAAAATTAAACAGAATTTTACATTACCAATTATCAATTCTCAAAATATATATCGAAAAGTATGATTAAAGAGAAAAGGTCGAAATATCGTAAAGCGGAAAAAGTTGACCATTTGGCAGCACTCTATGCATTTATGGTTGTTAAATTGGCAGCACTTAACAGGTGCTGCCCATTTTGGCAACTCTAAACAGCATACAGTATCGGTAACTATCGCAATGTGCATTCATGTTAAGTTGGCTGCGCATTGTAGCAGAGTGATCAAACTTAAGCAGCTCCTGCCTTAACCGTTCATTTGTTATTACTATGATTATGCTTGCAATATGGTTGCACCGCCTTAAAATATAGGTACACACATGGGCGTACCACTCAGATGGTAGGTACTCAAAAGGTACATATTAATTGAAGCGCTTGCTTAGTGATGACAACAGCTGTCTGTGGCGTGACGAGGCGATCGGGCAATGCGGAATGCTTCTGTGCGACTTTCGATGCCGTCTCGTTGCACTCGTTGTTAGCGAAGCTTTTGATGAGTGGGCGTGGGCATGGCCATGGGCATGGGCATGGGCGTGGGCGTGGGCGTGGGGTGCAGAGCGCAGGGGCTGTGCTAGAAATCTAGGCGATCGCTGTCAAATCGTGAACAGGGGCAATCTATCTGACCCGACTTGACAGCCTCTGGCCCGCCAGCAGATGAGTTCGGTTTGCAGTTGATATAACAGTAGATATTATCACACACCATTTTATGTGGGTTGAAATGAGGTTTTAGAAGCTTGCGTCATTTCTGACAGTTCAGGTAGTTTGTACAGTTTATATTGTTTCACTTGGTTTTAGTGTTAATGTTGATCAATGTTCTATATATAAGGCTGGGTTTTTGTTTGTTTTATTTATATTTTTCTGACTTTTGCAGTGTGAGAAGCGAATTGGCGTATTTTTATTATTACCTCCAGTGCCGAAGGGCTGATAATAAGGCGGCTTAAATGGAAACTCGGCATCGGGCGGTATTGAGTAGGTTTGTCCTTTTTTATGTATTCATTTTTTTGTATTTTGGTTTTAAGTTTGATATCAAGTTGTAAGGTGTGATGTGTATTTTATGTTTGGTTTCGATTGTTTTTTTGTTTTTGTTTTTTTTTTTTTTTATTGGTTGTGGTTGTGGTTGAGGTTGTGGTTGTGGTTGGGTTGAACAACAGACACAGGTCATGGCGTTCGGTACAGAATGCATAGATGATTTATTTTCGAGTTTTTTTGTTTTTATTGGTTTTGGTTTCGTATTGAAATTTTGCATGCATTTTGCGCCGAGGCAGTGTGTAAATAGGAGCAAAAAGAAAAGAGAGAGAGAGAATAAAAAAGATAATACATAATACATATATTAATCAAAATGAGACAAAAAAAGAAACTTTGACTAAAAATTCAAATAGGATATTATGACGCAATATACGGTACAGGTACGGGTACAGTTATAATAGTTATCGTTACAGTTACTGTTAAAATAAAAATAGTTATAGTTACGWTTACGATTACAATTACGATTACGATTACGTTCACGATTACGATTAAGATTTACGGTAATAGATATATAAAAATATATATATATTATACGATACAGTAAATGCAAATAGAATATTACGATAAAGTACAATAATCAATTTTCAATAATCGGTCGAATTTAAATTGACTACACGACTATACTTAATGTCTGTGGTTAGTTATCAGCGGCACTGCGAGCTGCTGTCGAGCTGTGGATGTTATTCAAATTTAGTTAGCCAAATGGGGTTTTCCATTTCAATTTTGGTTTGGTTTATGCTTTCAGGCAGCGACAACACTAAGTGAGATTAAGTCCAATTTAAGTCATAAATTTGGATGGCAATCATAGCAAAACGGCAGCAGCAACAACTCGACAACACTAACGGTACTTAAATCGGATTGAGACGTACCTCAAAGGTACACGATAAACGTGAGCTCGAAAACTATCGATAAATAGTTCCATTTCATTTGATTCAGTGTATATCGAACTCTTATCGATTGTTTTCGAGCTCCGCCCGTATATGTCTGCTTAACCATTAAGATTAAAACTAGATTTAAATCATCCAATAGATAGATGGCCTAAGGCTAGTTCTTGAGTTCCAGTAATCTATGTTAGATACACAAGTTTCAGTTGGTAAACCCTTGAGGCTCGCTTAAATACTAAATCGATTAGGGTATTCGAGCTTATTTTTAGTTTTATCTGTAGGATTATTGCATTTCTTTTCATTTGTATTTTTGTGTTAGGTTAGGGACGATCTAAATTCTAAAGATGCTCAAAAAAATTAAAAACACAACTGAAACTGAAATTAACACAAATTTAATTCAAGAGTTTTGTATGCAAAAAGGAACCGGGACATAAGGTACATCGGAGGAGGAAAAGAACTAAAAATTAAATTTTTTTGCAGCTATATATCAATAAAAGAAACATTAAATAATTGGAGAAATAAAAAATCAAGAGTAAATAGTTCAAACCAAGAGCTACGGGTGCTACGCACATGGTATTTAAGGAGATATTGGAGAGGTGACTCATATCTTGGCTATGATGAATACTTAAAGGCTTAACTATAACTGAAGAGACAATGGATAGGAGCTGTTGTATTTATAAGTATTACGAGTAATATTTCAATTTCAATTTCAATTTAATTTCGAAATACATACAGTACAAATAAAACTGCACATTTTAAGTATATTTATTTCATTGTAAATGTAAACAAAAAAAAAAAAAGGAAAAAGAGAAGAGAAACAATGAAACATTGACTTACCTTGCCAGTACCAGCTGCCAGGTGCGCCAATGAACAAACGCGATCCGTTCTGCAAATGTGAAATGGGAAATGCGAATACTTAAGATTGTGTATGCAAATGTTATGCCACGATTCCAACCAGGTGACAACTAAACGTGCCCACGTCTACCACAGCCACCACAGACCCAGAGCCACTCACCCGTACCGTTCCCAGTCCCCATTCATAGCTAAAACCAGATGCCAACGCAAATCTATCTAACTCTCTTCTGTTTGAATCCTTGAATTATGGCCAATACCCCTGCTAAATGGTACTTACACTGTTGATAGCCGCACTGAAGCCAGCTTGGCATGAGCCCTGACGATGATAGCCCCAGTTGTCTGTAAGAAAAAAGAACATAGAATATAGATTATAGAATATAGAATATATAATAT